ACTAGCCATTAAAGCCATTCCCACATTGCATTTTTTAAATTCCTAAAATTTTTGGTCTTTTCAATGCCTAGTGGAAATTTGGCATTAGTCATTGGTCTGCTGACAGGTCACAAGATCAATGGGAGGCACACGGCTTTGCTATGGGTGCACTATAATGACTTCTATAGGAGCTAAATAAACGTTAATGTAGCACTTATTCTGCGAATGACCCGAACTTTGGGGGAGGAGACTGAGGTTCATAGTTGGTGCTGGACCGTTAGGGCATCTAAGCAATAGAACGGGGATAATGAAATGACGTTTGCTCAAATTCATCAACATGTGCATATCGACTGCTGAGTGGAAGATCGACCTATCTCGGCAGCCAGTTCGAAAACGCCCTATCTCAAAAAACTTTTCAAGAACGGGCTATTCCAGAATTTTATTGAAAAACACCCTATCTCACAATTTGGTTGAAGATCGCCCTATCCAGAATTCGTTTCAAAAACGCCCTATCTAACTTCAAAATGTATTGAAAATGTGCTGATATAGGGCGGTTTTGAAACGAATTCTGAAATAGGGCGTTCTTGAACAAAATTCTCAAATAGGGCGTTCTTCAAAAGTTTTTTGAGATAGGGCGTTTTCGAACTGGCTGACGAGATAGGTCAATCTTCCACTCAGCAGTCGATATGTTGGTTCACCTTTATAGTTGAGGAGGGGGTGTAAAGATCTCTGTGGTTCCATAACCTTATTTACGACATAGATATAGGGTTTATTTTCTTTTGTAAATTAATCTCTAGAAATCGATTACATAAAATTTCTAATGACTTACATAAGAAACAATATTTTTTGCCCCATTGAAGTACCTACATACATACCTACATACATACATTCGGCAGTATTTATGTTTTACTAATATTGTAGCTAATTTACTTTTATGCAAATATCTTAAAAACCAGCAGGGATCAATTACTATACATGTGTGTATGTAAGCATGATATGCAACAGTTTTGTACATATTAGGGTGGTAAAAACAAAAATAAAGTTGTGATTTTAATGCTCTCACCTCCTAGGATTGTTCTGTACCGAAAAATCGCTCTAGGTTTTTTATATATTTTATATAAAAAAATAATAGTTTCGTAGGAATGGTGTAAAATTCTTGAAAAGCACTATTTTTCGATGGGAAAACTTTTTTTCTCGCTTGGAGACTTTCAGTAATAATACTCAGTTGTTTATTTAACCATTTTGTAATATAAACTATATTTTATAAGTCCCCTAAAAACCCCAAAAAATGTAATGGGGGATTCATAAAAAATCAAGAATTCACCACTTCCACGAAATTTTTTCCCCCTATAAAATACATGGAAAACTTTGAGCGACCTCGAAAAATTTTTTAATTTCAAAAAAAGCAGGGATAAAATTTTAGTGGATGAGGGCATTGAAATTGCGACTTTATTTTTTCACATGCAGTTGTTTACCACCCTAATACATATTCATCTTCATAATAGTAAATTTGTTTAGCATTTTTAAAGCCTCAAAGAAAAGAGAAAACTGGAAAAAACACTAACATGTACATAAATGCGACTAGTTTTTGGGCAAATATAATGAGCTCAACGAATTTCGCTTTTCCGGTTCACAACCTGAGCATACATATATGTACATATATACATATACACATTTTCAAACGAAATAAAAATCAGCTGCTCACGCTTATTTAAGCAAACAAAAAATATGTGCATATATAGTCAGACACAAATGCGATTAAAAAGAGGCAAATGAAACTGACCCTAAGCTGTTGAATAGTAACATCAAAAAATAAACAACAAGTGTGCCAACTATACCACATCAACGGAAGTATCTGCAATCAGCTGAAAAAAAAAAACTGAAAGCTAAGTTTTTCTAAACGACAAAAAAAAACAATAACGTGCTTTCAGTTTCACCGAAAAAAGCCTAGACTTGGAATAGCTAATCCAACTAACAATTCCAGCCACACAACAAACAAGTGGTCAACATATCTTCGAATAACCGTTAACAAGACCGCCCCATAACTAACCTATGCTACTTTGCACGTCACCGGCCTGCGCGGACAACAGCACCAACAGACGTCCGGACAGAGCGTTAAGCCAACAAATGATAAGCTGCTCAAATCAGCAGCCAAGCCACTAACAAGTGGGTCTACAGTGAAACCGCGGATTCGTACATTGCTGGAGAGCGCGCTGCTAAGGCGACTAGGTAACCAGCTAAGTAGCCAACCTTTTCCGCTTTTCAGTATACAAATTGGCCTGCTCTTTTCGTGCATACCATTCGTGGCAATCAAAGCAAAGGCAAAGGCAGAGGCAAAGAAAACGTATTAACAAAATACCGAAATGTACAAGTAACACATGTTGTTTTTGTTGTTGTTTTTGGGGCAACTATTGCTGACCACGTTGACTTTTCTGACAAGCTCGCCTTTGCAACTGCAGACCAGCGGATTAGTCGCTGCCAAGCTGCTGAGGTTAGTATGCATCTGTTTTGTTTGTGCATCTAGTATTGGACGACGTTTGCTGTCACAATGTTTGTTGTTATTTTTTGCTTTCTTCTACCGCTCACAATTCATTTGTATTTGCTTACTTGATGTTGAGGTGTCTGGGTCAGTAGTACCAAGTTGTTGTTTGTTGTTGCTGATGGCTGATGGCTTTTGGCATTTTGCTGGTCACTATTTGCTGTTAGTTTGCCAGCTGGTGGCGAGGCGTTGAAGAAACTAATGACCTTAGCCATGCTTTGGTCGCAGTGCGCCCAGCTCAGTTTCGTGTGGTGTCCAAATAAGCAATTGACTTTGGTATTCAAAAAAACAACACCAGTATAAGAAAAAGGAAAACAACGCGCAGAGAGGAAACAAAAATACCAAACTTTACAGAGATGTTGGCAGCTGGCAATTGGCATTGGTGTGTTATCAAAATTTCATGGATCATGCGGCGCAAGAAAACTCTCTCTTTTCGAATGCAATCGGATGGCAATAAGGTGCTTTGGAAATCCAAAATTCAAACGAAAGGAACCCCAAAGCATAACAAGTAGGCGGTCATTGAAGATAGACAATATTGATTGGCTGCTGTTGCGTGTTGTATACGCATAATTAAAGTTAGAAAATAAAATAAAAGATGAGATAAAATAAAAAAGCAAAAAAGAATGAGATCCATTTTTCTTAGAATGCCGTTTCATTCCATTTAATGCAGTGGAAATATCTGAGGGAATTTGATATAGCTTTTGAAGGCCGTTGTTTACGTAAGTAATAAGAATCAGTAAATTTAATTCAACCAATACCTATGCCGTTCGAATGGACACCGACGCCCCAGCAATGAAAGTTTAAACTGGGAACCCGCTGGTGGTAGGAGAAGAAGAGGGAGCCCCCCACTACGATGGAAAGACCAGGTCGAGGACTTGGCTTCACTTGGAATTTCCAATAGGCGGCAGTTGGGGTAGAAGAGAAACGACTGGCGTGCCTTGTTGAACTCGGATAAAATCGCTTAGGTGGTTACAGCGCCAAATAAGAAGATATCTATGGGAAACTCAACGAGGTCATAAAATGCAAAGAATCGCTCATCTCTTAAATACATATAGTATGTAACTATAAAAGCTCAGTTAGTCTAAATTTGACTAACCTAAATTAACTTAACTTAATATTGTGGCCAACGTTATATGAAGACCCGGGACGACAGTAAGTCAAAACTCAAGTTAAGTTGACGTGTTGAGTAATCTATACTGAATGAGTTTTAACTAGTTGCCGCCGTAGCCGAGAGGTTAGAGCTGAGTACTGACAGGATCCAGGGTGCGATTCCTGGTCCCTGTTACATAAAAACAAGTGTATTTTTCTAATAGCGGTTGCCCTTGGGAAATCACCCCTCAGTATGCTTCTGCCATGAAAAGGCTTCTCATAAAAACCAGTTGGCTTCAAACCAAGTAACTTCGTCTAAATCATAGGCAAATAATAATGCCTCGATGGGGATGTTTACGCTTCTGATATATCGAGAAAGTATGCTTTTATTTTGAGAGTTGACCAATATCTTTATGTATAAACCTACAAAAGGTTGCTGAACGGAAAGCCGGGCCATCTAAGTTCGGCGAAGGGCTCATTGTAATACCATACGAACGTTAAACCAATTCGTGGAGTGTACGAACTTTAGTAACAGCCGTTCCCTAAACCTATGTAGCAGTAGTACTCAGATCGCCTATAATTCCCGTTTTAAGAAATATTTATCTCTTCCTGCAGAGTGCAAGGCGATCGCAGGGTAAATGCCTTATAGTTTCAGGTTCTTCGTCATGGGGCAGCTTTTTCAGAAGTGATTGTGTTGGGTCCTACCTAAAAATAACATTGGGAAACCTAAAATATTCATATTGTACCTAATTCTGAGCTGACATCATTAAAACGATCTGACAAATCACAAAGAGCATTTGCGCAATCCAAATGAGATCGCTCTAAAAATTATGAATTTGAATACCTCGAAATCCTTTAAAAATCTGCTAGGTTAGAAAGTCGATTCCAGATGTGAAAACCAAAGCACCTCTCAACGAACGAAAACATTAATTCCCGGTTTCACAGTTCGTATTTAAAATATAAAGAAACAAAACATTAATGGCTAGTGAATGCTGAATTGGTTGTCAGGGTGCTCTTGATTTTTTGGTATGGTGGGAGCGAGGGTAAATCAGATGCCTGACATGGAATCGTTACTTTTATTTAAAGATTTCTAAGTGAAAGGAACCAGTCGACTTGACCAAATTACCAAAGTAACACACAGAATAATTAGTGAAGTTGAACTTCAATGTAGTGGTTTCATCTGTGTTCAATAGGCTGTCATCGCTTCAATCAAAATAATAAAGCGACTAATTTCAGAATGAATGGTTTGGAGACAAACGAGACGTCTCATAGTCTTCTCCATCTATGTAGAATTAATTTTCGCAAATTGAAGTTGATCTACTAAAACAAACTTCAATTTAGTGAAATACCAGGAAATAAGACAAATATTTATATTATTAAAGCTCCCACTCACCTTGTGGCTCTGAATTCGCCTCCTCCTCCGAAGACGACGCTTTGTCCTGCTGCCTTTGCAGCTCCTTTTCCCGTTGTAATTTCTGCTCCTTCTCCTTGCGCTCCTCATCCGTCCACGAGCAATGCACTGCACCGTCGCGATGTAAGCTCAAATTCTCAATGCCATCTGGTATTTCCAGATCGTTGAAAATATGCCTCTGCCCAGCAGCAGCCATACGCCGATAGAGCATCATGAATTGGTAAAGCAGCGACCAGGCCTGCTCCTCTGAGAGAGGTGACTTAAAAGAGTCTAAAATGTTTTTCAACGTCAAACAACTCTCTGTATTCGTGCAGAGACAAACCGGCGGTGGCAACGGCGTGGCCATTGTGTCCGCAATTGTGGTTGCTGTTAGTGTGACGCCGCTGCTGCTGCTAGTGGATTTGTTATGCAGGAGCTGCTCACCGTTATTGCTGTCCGGCGAGGTGGAAAGAAATCCCTCCTCAGTGTCTGAATTGATAGTTAGAGTGGGTGCCAGCTTCTTCTTTATTTCCAGATCTGTGTGGAATTTTATGGTGACGGCACTTGGGCAGTTATCACTTCCACTGCCTGTGCCACCACCACTGCCGCTACCACCAGTGTCGTCCAGTTTTTGGCTGTTTCTCTTGTTGTGATTGACTTTAGTTATGTTGTTGTTGTTCTCCTCAGTCATGCTTTTAATGTTTTGTTTAATAATTTCAGTAGTTAAAGGTTAATTAGTTAGTTGGTTATTTAGTCGGGTTTAAATTGTGAAACGTCGTAGATTGGATTCGTAATCGCTTAGTCGATTTAGACGGGTCACTTTTATAGAACAAAAATTTTTTTCTTGCACGCAGAAACACAGTTATAATTTTTTGCACGAAATTTTACACTAACAAATGTGGTTAGATTATACACAAACATTTTTTCTTGAATTTTAATTACATTGTTATTAATTTAGCTATATGTATTTTATTTTATTGCTTTTGCTCCAGTTAAATATTTTGGCCAAATTTAGCCCAGTGTTGTTGTGGTTTGGCTCACGTCTATATCTGTCTTGCAGTTGCCGATTTGATGGCTTGGATTGGAAGAGAACAAACAAAAATTTTCACAAAAATTAAACACAAAATCAAATCCCATCAAGTTTGGAAACAAAATAATTATTTATTTTTCTGTTTCACTGAACACAAAAAGCAATCAAAATTGTTTGAAAAAATATCAAATTATTTAACAAAGAAAACGGTGCAATAAAGTAGTCGCCTAGTAGTTGTTGTTGGTTTTATGAGCTTTATAATTCTTCACTGGCGCAAGTGTGACAATTTAGATTAATTCGTGTGCTGTGTAGACTTTTGCTGTTGCTTTGCGAATTATTCTTTTTGTTATTGTTGTTTTAAACATTGCTTCCCATTGGAAAACTGATAGAGCCCGTTATCTGGCGCATGATTCACGATGAGACTCGTGAATGGGACACTTGTACGCGGGAGCGTTATCTAAGCGCGCGCCCACACGCTACAGAGGTAGGGCGCTAAATGCTTGCGAAATTTTTTACTTTTAACAAAAGGGCATCTAGAAACATTAATGGGAAAAAATATTAAGTTCGTAAGAGTAATGAATTTACATGAATACATACTTATGTAGTTGTATTGCAATTTTAATGAAAACTAGACAGAGTACATAATAAAAAAAAATATCAGTTTTAAATAAAACATAAAGTATTTTGTCATGAAATATACATATAATATAAAATAAAAAAATTTATAAAAATATTTTACTTACAAAAGAAATTGCTTAAAAAATTTTTTAATTTTTTTGGAAATGTATTGAAAGTAAAATCTTTAACAAAAGCTTTCATCGAAAAGAAATTCGTAAAGGAATTTTAAAATATGATTAAAAAATTTAAAAACAACTAATAATTTGAAATAAAAAAATGTTTTTAGAAAATTTCCAAAAAAAAATCATAATCACAAAAGTACATACATAATGCCATTTGAAATTTTAGAAAATTTCGGTATTTCAAGTATGATACTTACAAAGGAAATTCCTTTAAAAAAATATTTAAAAATTAAAATAAAATCTCTTAAATTCGACAATAGCTTTTATTGAACTCGAATTTTAAAACACGATTAAAAATTTAAAAACAAATATCAATTTGGGGAAAAAAAGTATTTCGAGTTTACGCATTTTAAAAAATTTATATAAAAGCACACAAATAAAAGTACAAAGTTATGTATATAATGCCGTTTGAAACTTCAGAAAATTTCGGTATTATTAGTATAACATAAAATATTAAATAAACCGTTAGTCTGTTCGAATACATAGATCTCCAGTGAAAAATATCCAGCAGCAACTGGCAGCAGGGCAACGAACGATTATCTCTCAATTTGGAAAATATCCCTAAAGGTACGCGAACGCAAAAGTCGTAACAACTTGCAAGTTTTTAGTAAAGCTGATCGAAATTTTGTTTACATACAAAAGCATGCATTACTGAAGACATGAAAAAACCTAAATTACTTAAAGGTTGTTTAAGTTTTTATTACGAAATATTTGCAGTTCTTATAAGGCATTTTAAGCTTAAAATCATCAAACTAAATTTCCAAATAATCCAAATTTTTCTATAATTTTTATCGGCTCTATCATAGTTAAAATTATCGAGTTTTGACTGTAGTATATCCAATTAAACTAAAAACTAAAAAAAAACATTCTTTAAAAGCATTTTCCGCGAAAATAAAAATCCCAAGTTCAAAAAAATATTTTTTTTAAATAAATTTTTCAAAACAAAAAAATTCACAACTTTTCAATCAAGTTTCAATTAGGTATGTATGTATGTACGAAACATTTCTCTGTTGAAAACCATTGTACTTATACTTTTGCAAATTTTCAATAAATCTGGATATGAGTAATTTGAAAAAAATCTTAAAACTTTATCATTTTTATTTTCGTGTGTTTCTTTTTTTGTTTTGTTTTTCATTTCTATCTGTTTTTTATTGATTCTCGCAATATTTACATATACTGTCTTCAGGTTACTTTAATTTTGAAGAAAAAGATTTAAGATCCATTTCTGCCAATTTTTCACACTTTAAAATTATTTCGCATCATAAATATTGATTTTCCTTAAACATGTCCTTGTTGCATTTCAAAGAGTCCTTACGAGTATGCACTTTTCATTGAGCTGTCAGCAACCACAAAGTAGTTGGCGTCATTATTTAAAATTAACTAGCTGGTTAATATTTTAAATGCACAATAGCGAATGGAACGAAAAAAACAATCAAGAGCTTAAAAAAAAAAAACAAGAAACATTTCATTGAACCAAACAATTAAAAGAACAACGACTGCTACATCACATATCCTGACAGCTGTGGGCATCACACACGCCTATGAGCAAAGCAGCATATTCAAACAGCGTATATAGTATCCATTGGTAACCTTGAAGCTTTAAGGCTTGTCAATTTCACACTCAAACCACATTTCGTACATCATTTCATTTGAAAATGTGCAACACCTTTTTTTTGCTCATAAACTTTAAAATTTAATCTCGTTTTCACATATTTTTTCACCTTTGGCACTCACTTTTCAATTGCATGAAAAAATTCTTTTTTTTTTTTTAAATTAAGTAATAAATTTTAAAACGTTCTACACACGTACGTACATACTTTCTATAATTAAATTCTTATATTTCTTATCTTGAACTTCAATTTATTAATTTTATTTTTTTTCTCTTCAACACTTAATGAATCCAATATGGTATCGCGTAACAATTCAAAATACGTCTTTATTTCCACATTGACCGTTCGCTACTAACGTGCCATTAGCGAGTTACTAGTTGAGCAGTTGAGCCGCACGTTATTTGGTTTGCCTGTTCTCAGCTGAGTGCCATAGAGCATATGAGCGCAAAGCTAACGAAACTTGAGCAAGTTATTTCGATTTTAGTAACTGAACGAAGAATATGGGGTAGAGAGACAGGTAAACAAAAAACACACGCTTTACCGTTTTTGTTTTGATTCTGGGATTCGAGCCGGTAGTATTAGTTATTCGTTACTGTTGTTTGTGTTGATTTATAGGTACACTGGTATATGGATGAAGTGTTGCCGTTTTTAGGCTTTTCTTGGAAATTGTGGAATTACCTACATACATATCTATATCCTCTTGCTTGATTGTAGTCAGAAGTGAATTTTTGCAAGTTATGGACCCAAACTAGCGGCTTAGAAGAGGATTAGTAGTGAAGTATTTTCTATCATCGGAGAGTATTTCTTTAACTATAGTGAATGGGATGACATGTCTGTGAAGTTGGCATACGGTATGACGCGGAAAGACAAAAAAACAGCTTTTCTGGGTAGCTTTTTAATAGTTCTAGAGCAGCAATGGGCAGAGAGAGCTTTTACTCTGCACGCGACTATACAAAATGTATACAAATCTTAAAAGAGCTTTGCCCGCGGGCAAGGCGGTGCCCACACCGTTGTAGAGCTATTGAAATGAAAAAAATTTGTAGATATTTTGACAAAAGAAAATTGTTTCAGAAATTGTGTATACAAGATTCACACAGCAAAAAATGCAAAGAAAAAATTGTTCTGAGTAGTTTTTCAATAGTTCTAAAGTTCCTGAGAAGGAAAAAGAAAGTTCTGCAAAATTACGACGAAAAAAAAACATTTTTTTTTTTAGTCGAAAAAGTTAAATTTTTGAAAAAATTAAAATTAAAACTATTCTGTTTAGCTTTTCAATAATTTTAGAGTTCCTGAAAAGGAAAACAAGGTTGTGCAAAATTACGCCGAAAAGAAACTTTTTTTTGAAAAAGTCTCAAAGTTAAATTTTTGAAAATCTCAATCTCATCAAAATGACCCGAATACCATGTCAAATTTTAGATATACCGATAAAACTAACAGTGGAAACAGAAATATGAATTGAAAGGCCTGGTACATACACTACAGTCGTGGAGGATGGCACTACTTGGCCTACAACTACATATAATGACCAGGGGAGGTACCGGTATGATGATTCGGCAGCCTTATAGTAAAATTTTATAGGCAAATATTCAAATAAGGCAGTGTCAAAATATTTCTTCTCACTCTAATTACTTCACCTGTTATAATTCCACCATGTCTAGAACTATTCTGCCTTAGCCTAAGTTTCGCCCGAAAAAAATTCACCCGAAAATTTTTATTCCGCTCATAGTAAATACATGGAAACCAAACGTGAAAAGTGAACCGGTTCGGGGATAATGAAACTCATGATAAGGCTGATTAAAAATTATTCAGAACACTTTTGTATTTGCCTTTTTGCCACATGTCGTATGTGCGTTAGTCTAGCATCCAGAAGTTTTTTTTTTCTTTTCTCGAACACTAGAACTATTGAAAAGCTACGAAGAACAGTTTTTTTTTGTCTTTTTGCGTCATACCGTATGCCAACTTCCCAAACATTGGATGACTGTGCTCAAAGTGGTCTAGCTAGGCCTTTGAAAGTAGTTTGCAGTTTTGGTGGCTTTTTTACTTCTGTATTGAATCTGTTAAAATCCCTTAGATATATCAATATATGTATGTATGTATGTATGGGGCATGATTCAATAATTAAAGGTTTTCTCATTAGTGACATTAGAGTTTTCACAGTCCCTTACCTCCCTTAAAAAAGATTTGCACACACACACGAACCCACACACAGTGCCTTGCTAAGGGAGCCGATTTTGTCAAGAGGGAATGAGAAAACTGTTTTCTGAGCAAACCTTTTATTATTGAATCATGCTTATGGGGCATTCCATCATCACTTATAGACAAATTCCGTTACTTTTCTGTTATTGTAAGATGTATAGTTTTATCGGACTAAAACTACGCCCACCTACCATATACATATCTAACGGTATATTTCAGAAACATGATTATAGATTTTTGGAAAATGGGTGTGGCACACCCCACTTATGACTGCATAAGTGTATACCCATAACCGCTTTATCGATATATCACAGCATAATATCGAATGTCCAGTTGGCCTAACTTGCAATCTTAAGTTAGGTTAGGATAGGAAGACGTAACGAATGCTTCGTACTTGCACCCGGAGGCAGATTTGCCCATTGTGAATGTACTCACTCTGTCAAACCATTTATGTAGTATTCCGGATGAATCCGTGGATGTTCGATATTCTCGCCTACGCTCTCTCCCCCAAGCTATTGGAAAAGTGTGATCCCAAATGTTTGAGATGCCATGTCTGGAGAGCTGGGAATTGACATAAGAAGTGATGAATCGATTCCTCTTCATCCTCATCCCGGCTATTTCTACAGAGGGAGCTTGTTGGTGTACATCATCGATGGTGCATTGGTACGATATTACAGTGCCCTGTAATGACACCGGTAAGAGCCCTTCCTTCAAATTTGTTTAATGTCAATAGTTCCTCAGTACAACCCCTATTGAGTCACGGTCACAAGGATTTTGAGATTTCACAGTGGACCCGATTGATTCAAAGGTCATTGGTTACGGCTGTGGTGTATTCTATAATATTACTTATATTATCTTTTTCTATGTTCTGGCACTCGGCAGAGAGAGCTTTTGACGTGACTTAGCGAAGCCAGCGTTGCACGAAATTTCCGAAATGCTGTCGATTTACCACTCTGGAGCCTATTGTTTTCAATGCCGCCTGGCTGTCAACGAATATAGTGACGTTCGCTGATAGAGACTTACTATCCCGTATGAAACAAGCCGCCTCGTTTTTTAGCAAAAAATCTCCGCATGAAAGACACTGCATTTATCGGGCAGGCGCTATGATTGTCTTATTTGAATGCCCTTGGAATACAGACCAGAGCCGACTTCTTTTCCATCTTTTAGGCCATTGGTGTAGATGAAAATACCATCATTTACCGACAGGAGGCCAGCTTCCCAATCTTCCCGAGTTGGAAAGTGTATGGGAATCTTAAAACTAATGTCCAGGGATGACGTGAGGTAATCAGTTTCGACATCAAAGTCGGCCTTGATTCCGTTACGCCGTCCACTATTAATTACCTTCAAGACCGCTGGGTGCCCTTTGTTGTTCTGCTTCCACAATTTTGTTTCCCTCAGTCTAAGGGCCCCTTTTGCGGCTACACCTGTTACGAATACTTGTGTTAGCACCAATTAAAATATGTTGAGCTCTTCTTGTGGTGCGCTTCTCACGGCGCCTGATATACCGCTGCTTTTATCCAGTGCTTTTTAGGAGATCAGTGCTCCATAGGTAAAAATCGGTCTGATGACTGTGGTGTATATACCGAGCCATTTACTGGTATAATATGCTGATGGGACCTTCTTTGCTCTTTCCTCTACGTTACACCTTCACGTTAGTTTGGAGTCAAAGATAAGACTTAAGGATTTCGTATCGGAGGAAAAGTTCAGACTAGTCCCGTCCAGCATTGGGGAAATCCGGAATTTTTGTTTTCCTTGTATACAAGTTAAGTTTGGTTTTAGAAGGATTAACTCCTACCCCACTTTTTCTTGGCCCAGCTGGAGATAGTCACCATTGCCGATTGTACTTGCGGTCATCAGCATCGATATCGATACTCTGAAACACGAGCTCGCTGATTATTTAAGTAGCTACTGGACAAACTTCTGTTGTATGCAATGTTTGTACATTAGACTGCACTCCCCATACAAAAAAAAAAAAAATCGGTACTGTTTTCCATTGGAATTATAAAATCTATTACATTTTAACACGTCCACCAAAATATTTCGGAAAAATATTAAGATTTAAACGAGCTGGACCGATTTGGAAATTTCTCCAAAAATGGAGTTTTTTACGAATAAAAATAGTTTCTTAAAGATGTTTTTTGAAAAAATCCCCTCAAATGACACAACGGTTTAAGCTTAAAAATTTACATAAAAATAAAAAAAAAAAACAATTTTAACGGAATCGTAACAATGTGATTTTTGTTGCTGTTTTTTAACTTAAAGATTGGTATAAGAACAACTTGAATAACTGAATCTAAACTCTTCCGATTTAGACTTGTGGGATATCATTGGAAAGGTATTTTCTCAGCCTTTTTATTTCTTTGCTAATAAGCTCATTCAAGGGATGAAAGAGAAAGGTAGGATGAACGAACATCAATCAGAGTTGAATTAAGATGTGTTGATATTGGAAAAAAAAAATGGGACACGATTGATTTTTTTGCACATAAATAAAAATATTGAGAAAATAGCGTTCTACCGAGATCCCATAAGTCTAAATCAGAATAGTTTAGGCTCAGTTATTTAAATTTTTCGTAAATCAATATTTGAAAAAAGTAAAAAAACAGCATCAAAAATCTCAGTATTGCGGTTCCGTTGAAAAGATTTTTAAATATTTTTATGCAGATTTTTTATGCCTAATCTGTTTTGTCACCTGAGGGAACTTTTTTCAAAAAGTTCTTTAACAAACTACTTTTATTCATAAAAACGCAATTTTTGGAGGTATTTTCAAATCGGTCCAGCTCGCTTAAATCTTAATANGTATTGCGGTTCCGTTGAAAAGATTTTTAAATATTTTTATGCAGATTTTTTATGCCTAATCTGTTTTGTCACCTGAGGGAACTTTT